ATGGATGACAATTCATGATCAAAGGTAAAATGTTGATTTGATGAAGTCAATGAAAAGTTGAAAAGTAAATAATATATTAGACTTTATAACAAAAAACCAAGCCTATGTATTAAAACATTCAATAAAGAAATACTATATTAATTTTTTTATTTATTATAAACATTTTATTTTTATCAATTTGGAACTAAATTTCCTTCCCTCCGATATTAATATTGGTTTTTCAAATTTGCATAACGATCTTCAAGCCAATAAAATTTAATTTTTGCGTGATATCTGGAAGGGAGATCGTCACATAATAATAATTTAGCCAATGAAATCAAATGTCCACTATGCTCTATTTATACCGGTGATCGTCCCAACGGCCAATAAGATTTTGGGTAAAGTTTTTGAAATTTTACTTGGATGCTCCTCAATTATAATAATCCGATGAGGTCCTTATTAAAGACAACTGCCATAATTGGTTATTTGCAGCAATGGTAACTACCATAGGGTAGTTACCATTATAAAATATTTATGGCTGCAAATATATGCAATTTTTATTAGTTGAAATTTAATTAAATATTTTTTTTGATAAAAATAATTAGTTTTATAGTGACTGAAGATCAGAGGTTGCAGCAATTGAAGACTTACAGCAGTTGCAGTAGTTGCAACATTAGATGTTAAAAAATTTTTGGGTTGCAACCTCCACTTCCTATATAGTTGCAGAGCCATATTTAATTAAAAAACCGGAATTTAGCATTGAATGAGTGGTGGAAGGTCAATATATAATTATTATGGATTAAACCCTAACAATAAAGAATATACCGAACATTGCTGACTTTTTAGCAGATGAAATCGAACATACAATATGTGCGAACAACATAGAGAAATTTACTGGCTGGGAATGTTAAAGCAGCTAGAAAATAATTAATAAAAAATACCCACATGCATTAATTTTAGATTTGTTGGAATAATTTTATGTATGTGGTTTTTTCAATAATTTCGAAATTATTTTAGAAACCACAGAAAAATCCGTAATTTTGCCATCGCAAATTAGCAATATAGGTATGTGAGGGACACCATGTAGTTTCACTTTCCCAAGTTTAAATCACAAGGCATGTTTAAAAACGACTTCAGTTTTAGAAAATCCAATCTAAAGCTTGCAAGGCGAATGATAAATAACCTGATCACATTACCTATTTAATAAAACTTGTGGATGTTGCGGAGTCATCAAATGAAACTTGGGCATTTTTAAATGTGCATCTTGTAAATCTATCATTGACGGAGATGTAAGCGGAGCCCGTAGTATACTTTAAGGTGTGTTATGGAAACACAACGAGAGTCGCCTCGAAGTTGAGGCTTACACCAAAGATACCTACCGCCTTATTGTAGGTCGTTTGCGCAGGACTTGTACTTTGAATATTAGAAGAGAGTAAAAATCTGTGTATCATCGGTTTAATTTCGTGCAACGTGAAAAATTAAATATTAATATAAAAACAAAATTAGCAATAAAAGGTTGCACTTTTTATAAAATTAACACGATATCTTTTTAAATTAAAACAATGGATGATAATTTGTCTTCGCAGATAGAAGTACTTAACAATAGAGTTTCCGAATTAGTTGAACAAAAAACTAAATTAAATAGCACAATTGAACGACTAGAAAGCGATCATGCAAAATTAGAAGCAGATAATTTAGTAAAAAACGAAGAGACGGAACAAAAGATCAACGATCTTGAAGAAGAAGTTGGTTTGCTTGGAGAACAATTGGCTCTTGCTCGTAAACAAGGAGATGAGTGGATTGAAGAGTATGAAAGAGAAAATAAGAGGGTTGGACCGCGTCTTAAAGAACTAGGCGAATTAAACAGAAATTTAGAGAAACAGAAAAGACATTTAGAAAATCAAAGAAAAGAATTACAGTCTCGAAGAGATGATTTAAAGTTGGAGCATGAAAAATTGCTCTCACAAATTGATAGAACAACAACTAACACAGAAAAGATGAAAAGAGATTTGAAAGCAGCTTTAGAACGTCATGAGGCGCAAAAGGAAGAATGTGCTATAAATAAATCAAAGATGTCAAAAGAAATTGAACAAATAAAGCTAGAGGTTGAAACATTAAAATCAGACTTGGAGATATCAATTGCTGAAAAAGACATGTTGGAAAGTGAAATAGAATTAATTGAACCGGAAACTTCGAAATTAAAAAAAAAAGTAGAAGATTTAGAAAATAATCGAAGTGGACTGAATTTAAGACTTCAAGAGTTATCGCCCAAAAATTCTGATAAACAATTAAAATCTCCAATGAAATTTAGGAGTAACACTGAGAATGGAGAAATTTCAAAATTTTATAATAAAAATTTGGAAAAGCGTTCGAAATCTTTGTTAACTGGTTCAAGTAAAGATGGCAACACAAACATTTCAAAGGAACCAGAAGAATTTCACAAACAAGAAATAGAAGTTTTAAATAAAAAACTTTTCTCACAAAAAGATACATATGAAAAAGAAATCAAGTCTATGCAGAAGGTTCGTCAAAAACTTGTAAAATCATTGATCCTAATAGCTTATCAATTTTAATCTTATAATGATTTTTTTTTTACAAAAAATTAGGAAATAAAAAGCCTTTTATCAAAGATAAGAGACATGGATAATGAAAATCAATCAATTTCATCAAACAGGAAGTCATTAACTTTAGAAAAGGCATCCCTCGTTAAAGAGAAGGGTGAAATGCAATATCAAGTAGAAAATTTACAAAAAGTAAAGTTATTTGTAATGTGTATATATAATTTTTTATTTATTTTGTATTGTACTTAAAATTTGCTTTAATTAAGGAATCTGAAAGATATCGCAAGAAAACTAGTTCTATCACTGAACTTGAAAGTCGCATTCGAAAGTTACAAAAGGGTATTTTTTTTTTATTACTAATTTGTTCATTTTCAACAAATTCTTTTTTATTAAAAATTAAAATTTTTTAATCATATTTTTAAGAAAAAGATGTCGCAATTGAGCAAAAATCACAAAAAATAATAGACTTACAAAACGAACTTCAAATTTCCAATGATAAAATAAAAGAAATCACCAAAGAAAAAAATCTGATTTCAAAAGAAAGATTAGAATTACAAAGAAAATATTTATTTGCAAATGAAGTAATTGGTTTATTTTTACTATAAGCTTTATTTGTTTTTTATTCAATTTACAACGCTTCTAAAAAAATTTTAAAATTCCTCAAGATGAAAGAAACATTAGAATCAGACATTAAAGCTGAAAAAGAACATATAAAAGCAATGGAAGTAGAAATACAAAATATAACAGATCAACTTCAAACAGAGAGACGCGATCATCAAGCCAAGAGTGAACAATTATCAATATATGAAGATGAACTACAAGTTACACGAGAACAGTGCAATAGACATCGTGAAGAAATTGAACAGTTGCAAGAAACTTTAAATCATAGCAGTAGTCAAACTAAAAAGTTTGGAATTATGCGACGAAATAATGTAAGTGTACAATAATATTATCATTACTATTGATTAACTGTCCTGCTGATTTTTTAATGCTGATTTTTTTCTGAGATATAGAGTATCGTTATCGATGATGATGATATTAGACTATTATTTGATGAAAACTCTAAACTTAAAAATGAGCTAATAGAAAATGAGAACCAATTAAAAGAACTGCAAGATTCTGCACAAAATGAAATCAGCACACTTAAAAATGAATTAAATTCTGCACGTGAGCAAATTCTATTAATGGGCAGACTGAAAATGACAAACACGACTAACAGCGACATTGATATCGAAGAAAAATTAAAGTAATAAAATTATAAATACAAATACAAGCCATCGACTATTTGAATTTAACATTATTTCTAATAATCCAGGGATAAAGATATTCAAGAATTGCAAAAAATTTTTGAGGACAAGGTATATATGATGGAACTATATTTAGGAAGGCTTTTTATTAACTGAATAATATAATGTATTGTATGTATTTGATAGGATATGAAAAGTCATCAGAAATATCAGACAGAATTACAAAGTGAAAAGAAACGATACGAAGAAAAAATTAGTTTAATGTCAAAAGAAATACGTTATTTAAAATCGAGATGTATAAGAGAAACAGGGTTTCGAGCTGATCTAAGTTATCAAAAGAGATTTATAACGACACTTTTGTGTGGTACAGAAAAATGGTTAGTCTTTGATTTTAAGGTTAAATTTTTCTAGAAATATTAATTTATTTTCTTTCGCTTCTTATTATAGGGAATACGAATTATTACAGATATTATCCAATTCTGGCCCAAATAAAGAATATGATTATGCTAATTCTTCGAAACTATCGCAAAAATTTCGCAGTGTAGTGACTTCAATAATAGCAGTGCAAAGAATGAAGTAAATTATAAATTATATCTATTATATATTTATTTTTTTAAAACGATTTTATTATTAATGATTTTTTAATATATTATTTAGAATTCTAAAGAAATCATGGGATAAAAGTAAAGAGCTTAGAAAATATATACAACAACAACAGCAATTATGTAGAAACATTTAAATAAACAAAATTAATTAATTTATAATTTATAATTATTATATCAGGTGTACATATCATGTAAAGTTGCATGTATTTAAAAAATTTATTTAAATATACTACGAGTAAAATATATATTCATTAGATAATATTAATAAAAATGCAGAAGTCTTTTTACAAACTAGTTTATAAATTGTAAAAATTATATAATTTAATAATGATGTTTTTCATTGTTATAATCATTTATTACTTCTTCAATTTTTCTCTCAAACCAACTTTTGCTTGAAGGATCAACAATATTTATGAAGTGGCCATGTGTATTGTTTGGTCGAATCTTAAGAAAAATCCCTGTGGGTTGTATTGAAGTTGTTTGAATGTCTATTAAAAATATCAAAAGAAAATAATGTTAAATACGATAGCCGAACAAAATATAGTTTGGATTGAAATAATTTTTGATTAATTACCGTCAAAAGATACCTCCCATTCTACTTTGGATCTTTTGTTTTTTATTAACATAATTCTGGATCTTGTAAGCATGACAACTTGATCATCGTTTAGATCTATATTCAAGAGTTTTTTTTTGTAAATTATAACAATTAATTAATTAAAAAAATTTTTATGATATTACCAAGATGTGCAACATATTCATCATTCAAATATTTTCCGTCCTCTAATTCTTTCAACCAAGATTGTCCTAAAGCTTCTCTTTGTTGATAACACTAAAATAATTAATAAAAAATCATTACAATAAATGAATAATTAGTAATGTAAACGATTACTAAAACTAATAATAATAATAGTAATAGTAACAAATTAAAGTTAATAAACATTCACAAATAAAACTCACCCTAAGGATACCATCACGTCCTACAAAACGTGGTAACCTTACAGGTGAAAGATCATTTTCATCAAATACTGTAGTGGTATTACGAATACCTGATAAAATTATTTTTTTGTGTCAATAAAATCAAATTTTAAAATAATATTTGAAAATTAATTAAAATAAATACCTTCAGTCACATTACTAGCTAAGTCGAACACACCAACAACAGGTTTGGTAACAAATCTAGAGAAAAAAATGCATTATTTTTAAATGTGACAATGAAAATAAAACATGACAAATTTATTAAAAAACAAATTTACCCAACGAGGCCTTTGCCAACACCTTTGATGAATCCTTGAGCTCCTTCTTTTTCGACGCCTTCTTTTGGTTTACGCTAATAATCAAGCGTATTTACAGTTAAAATAAAATTATTTTATGACTATTTTTTTAAAAAAAGAAATTCTACATACAGCAAGACCTTCAAAGCCACTTTTAATGCTGCTAACTAATGATGATGTTCCTTGAGTTACACCATATAAAGCGTGCTTAGGTCTGTTTCTGAATTGTGAAATCCTTCTACGATCCTGGTAAGATTTATCCAAAGTTGCAGCAGAAAGACCTAATCAATTATATACATATATATATATATTAAAACGATAGCACTTTAATGTAAAATCCCCAGAAATAAATTGAATATTATTATTTCAAAAAGTTCACCTTTTCCAATACTTCCGGTAATTTTAGAGACGCTATCACTAAAGCCATATACTGTTTTTTTAAAAAAACTTGTTGCGCCCTGATAATTAAAAATATGTCAGGACTTTATTTCCTATTTAGGACTGCAAATGGCCTACAAAAAAAATTAAAATGCATACTCTCGCAATTCCAATACCGAGATCCTGAGGCTTATCGCTCATTATAAAACCTTGATAAGGTTCATAGAAAATATCGACAACACCAGAACTAAGGTTGCTGAATAATCCGACAGGGTTACCCAAGAAATCAGCAGATCCGACTATTTTGTGGACCTTTAAAAAGAATAATAATTAAAAAAGGATTCGGTAATATAACTAGCGTGATAAGGGAACAATATCAAAGTGATAAAATACTTGATAAATAAAGGCATTTCCGTAATGTTGTCGAATTCGGTCAATAAGAACAGGTAAACTGACTCGCATGTTTTCCATTGCTAGTGCATTGACTTTAATTGGTGCATCCTATACAACATGCATGATGATATTTATGTTATTTATTGAAACGCAAATTAAATGAGCTTTATGGTTGAAAAATACAAACATTTATATTTCCGATCGCCATAGTTAAAACATTGATAAAAAATGTCATAGGATTACGTGGTGGTGGCCTATTAAAATATTATCATTAAAATATTATGCGTCATTCATTTTTGTAAGAAAAAATATATATTATTCATATAAAGTAACACATACTTGTTTTCAACATTTATACGCTCAGTTCTAACGAATGATATATTAAATCTCATTGGATGTATATGTAATACTTCAAAGTATAATTGATTATCGCCTTCGGTAGATTTTGGCTCAGGAATATCGAGGGCGCCATCCAAAAGTGACCTATTAAAATATAATTTTAGGTTAAAGTAATTGAAAATAATCAATACAATATATAATTCAAATGCTATTTATTACGTTTCATTTTCTTCGTGTGAACTTAGACCCTGAATTTTAGTAAACTCAAGTAAAACAAAAAGAAAATCCTCGTCCATTTCAAATGTCATTTCTTGTAGTAATATAGAAAAGTATTTGATGTAGACAACACCATGTGCTAAAATGAATATAATTTACCATGTATTAGTTAACATGGAAATTTTTTTATTAATCTGAGAAAACCTTAAAATTCTAAATTGCTCACATTCATCTTTCGCTTTTATAAGTGCTGCGTGGAAAGCAGGATGTGTGTCGGTTTCTTTTTCATCTTTAGGAATCATTGTAGGGTATAAAATAATAGGATACAATCCTCCATATAATTGATTATCAATCTAAATTTTTTTTAAAAAAAAAAATTTGCAGGTTATTTTATAAAATTGTTCAATAATTTATACAAAGAAATAACAATGGTCGAGTAACACTTTCCTGCAACCACTTAACAACGAAATTGATTGATTGATACAATGTAGAATCTTTATATTTAAATTCCAATCCACGCATTGATGCATAAGCCAATTCCTATAAAAAATTATTTTTAATATAAAATATTTGGTAAAACTCTACTATTAAATAAAATTTTTATTTTCATACCTGCATCCTCTTATTGATAATAGATATCCCAATTCCTACAAGTCTTATTTGAAAACTAATTGTTGTTACTGAATCAACATCAATCTAAAGGATAATTATTTAGTCGATAAACAAAATAAAATAGATTTTGTATTATAAGACATCAAATAAGATCGAAAACAGAATGCATACCACTTCAAAGGCTTCCCGATTAGATGTAGGTTCGTTATTAGTATTAGATGTGATTGATGGTGCTCTTGGTCTAAATATGCTTTCCGATTGTTTATAATTTGTTAAAAGCAAAACTTGTGTTGGACCATCTGCAACAACTTCTATAGCCAAAATCTTGTGTTTATTGTCATTGACCTTAAAAAATTTTTTTTATATATAGAAAAATCAAAATTAATCATCAAAAAACTTTTTAAATAAAATTTCAGAAAAAATACATACAGGATATTTGAACGGCACAAGAGACCCAATTTCTTGGATGTTGACTACTCTTTCATTATCGTTAATATTTAAGACTAATTTTTTATTTTTCAAAGCGGGATAATCCCATGAATACGCCATAGAATTACCAGAAGCTACAACGTATAACTTTGTAGAAGTGGACTGAGCGCTAGCATTCTAACAAAAAAAAATTTTTTATTAGCTTAGTTAAAACATTATATGAATTTAAACTTTAAGCTGTAATTAACTAAACAAAACCTGTTGATATACAACTACATCAACATCTGAATAATTTTCAATACGATAGGGCCATCTCCCTTCTTCTTTATTAAAGATAACAAAAACTGTAGCGTCCTCCAATAAAATTTCAGTTCGAATCAAAGTAATATCGTCATTATTTCTATAAAGTTTAACGTGTACTCTTCCGAGCTCATTGATATTAATTGGTGCAGACCTAAATATACAAGTTAAAAAATAATATAAAAAAAGGGTCTAAAATTGATTTTGATACAATACTCTACATACCAAGGATTTAAACGTGAATAGCACAGGGTTATTTGTTTCACGTCACCCTGTTTCAGAAAATGAAGAGGTGCACGATTTTTTGAATTAATAGTTAAGAATTCTTTGGAACCTGGTTCTCGGATGTTTATATCCTCGTTTAAGTTGTTTTTAAGAACAAATCTTGGTGTAATAGTTATGATTTTTGTTAACTTGTACTATAATAAAGAATGATTAAGTTAAATCAAAAAAAAGTAAAATATATTTATGAAATAATCAAAACACAAGTTAATTAATTATTAACCTTTTGTTGACCTTCCTGAATACTAACGCCCAAGTGCATTTCTTCAGATTTTGAAGGAACCACAACCTCCAAAAATGTACCAACAGCTTCAAAACTTATCGGCTAAAGTCACAAGCAAAAAAAACCCACAAATTAATAAATTAATAATAACACTGTAAACATACAATAAGAATTTTTTCATTACCCTACTCCAATCTGAATCACCGATTTTTAAAAGTGCACGATTTACAATCTCATCATTTGGATATGAAAACATATATGGAGCAATCTAAATAGATAAAATGTTTGGAATATCAGAAAGAAAAAACATACACATGCACACACAACGTAAAGTAATTAAATATTAAAAAAAAAAAGACTAACATTATTTTTTCTTGAAGATCCTATTAATATGGAAAGAAATTTTTTTAAATAAAATAATACAATAAAAATAAAAAAACAAAAATTTTAAATTAATTTAACCTTGACCAGCAGCAATTCTTGCTGATTGCAAGAAAGATTTTGATTTAAAAATCATATCCAATCCAGTTTTATTGATAATAACATAAGGACTATAGAGACTGAATTTGAATGCACCGCCCGAATCCGGAATTTCACTACGTTTATTAAAATTTTATATTAATATAATGATAAATATATACATATATAAATGAGATTAACTTAGCTTACGTGTAGTATATTCTAAGATTTAATTTTAAGCCAGCAGGATCTGTAACTGTTATTGTGTCATCAACTTTATAATCGGATTTATTTGGTGATGCAATTATGGCAGGTTCACTAGTCTTGTAATCTGACGAAATAAATAATAAATATATATCTGTATACATATAATTTATGTAAATGTTTAAAAATACAAACTTGCATCTTGTATATCTATGCTAAGAAGTAATAAATGTCCCAATTCGATAAGATGAAGTGAATCTATGCACCCCTTTTCTAAATGATTATTGAGGCAATTTTGATTTTGAGTTTTATCATAGATATGAAAATTGACTTTATATGGTAATAAATTTTCAAATTGAATAGGTGCACTTAATCGAATCGCCATGTAAGGATATTCTCTATAAAAAATAAAAAAATAAAAACCATAAATAAATTTACTTGGAAAGAAACTACAAGTTTAAAAGGGCTTACTTTACAAAAGGATCATTTTTTTTGTATCTAGCAAACACTTGAAACCTGAAAGATACATCATCACCATCATCGAGAGAATTACATGAAATTGATTTGAGTGGATTACGTTTAATAAAATCTTGCCAAAACAAATTTTCGGTACTCCAATTGTATCCAAAGCCGCCTGTTTGCCGAATTAGATACAATAAATCCATTTATTTATTCATTTGTTTTTTGTTATCAAAATAAAATAAAATATAATAAAGTTTACCTTCAGGTCTGATTTTGAATTGATTATGGTAAGCAGCTTCAATAGGTAATGGGCAATCTTCTCCAGGGGCTAATTACCGGTACAAATATTTTGCATTTAATAGAATTAAAAAAAACAATGATCATTAGATAATAGATGATAAATAACCTGATTACCTATTTGATAGACCTTTTTAACATCTTTTTTGTCTGAATCAATTATCAATAGTTCTATTGTAAGCAATGTACGGTTTTCAACGACCAAAACAGATCGGAAGGTCACCACTTTAATGTTATCTTCGAGTTTTATGTCAACCATCAATCTATGCGATACATTATTTAATTTTGGTCGAAGAATATATAATTTTTCCCCCTCTCTGTCTACATGGATGTCCCTGATGCATTCCCAATTAGAACCATCAAATTGAATACCAAGCATGTTTTTCATTACCATCATACTCTATAAAACATATAAATAAATAAATAAATAAATATATATATATATATATTTATCAATATTTCATAAATTATTACAAATAAAGTAAAATAAATACCTCTCGTGTTTTTCTCCAGTCATCAAATCTCCAATCTATATCATCTCCATCATTCAATACTTTTAAAACGGTGTTTGTAGCATCATCAGAAGAAATGGCCCATACATGCATATTATAACCTGTCCTATTTCTTAGTTTATATGGTGTTTTAGCACCTCTGGCTGTACTTAAGACATGCTATAAATATAATGATGGTTTCAATTAAACTTTAATGTTATTATTATCAAACTAATTAAACAAAAAATAAGGGAACCTGCCTCTTTTTCATTGTTTATTATAGACAAAGTCGTCAACATAGTTTCCAAGAAAATATGGGTTATATTTATTTCCAAACGTTTCTGAGAAGATATATCAATTATCATACTTTCTGGATTCAAATTTTTTGACGCCTAAACACAAATACTCTAGCCATTAATATTCAAATAATAATGATTATTATTATTAAAAAAACTGATTAAAATTCACACGTACATGCAAACTATACATCCAAGGCTCTACCAACGGTTCCCAATGAGAATTTGTCAAATTAAAATAATTCATATAAGTTGAAATTGTAGCATCGACACTCATCTGATTTTTTTTATGTTTACAACAGTTAGATTTTTTTTAAAAAAAAAATTTTTTTAAATTATTTTTAATCCTACTTGAGATGACCAATTTAAAATATCCAAAGAAAATTTATTTGCAGTCGCATCTATCATTGGTATATTATGTTCATCTCCAATTAAAATAAGTCGAGTTCCTTGAAATATAGCTTTTAACTGATTTGCATAATATGAATATGTGAGTAGATATACTTATAGCTCATAATAATAACTATATAAATTAAGACCTGTAAACTTACCGATTCTCTTGACGTACTTGCATAGGGACGCGATTTGGTCGAAGAGGTATTTTTCTTGGCTGCAGAAAAAGCATTAGAATTAAATGTCCTACCATGAACTAATGATTGTGTTTCCGAGTTTTCTGCTTCTATTAAAGATTTTTCAGCTTTTTCCGATGATGACGATGATTGAGAAGAAAGTTCCGAGACTTTATTGATGATTGATAATATAAGTAAAACATCTCTGTAAGAAACTCTCAAGACAAGTGGCCCAACATCAATATTAATGCTTGAAAGTTGTTGACCCGGCTTGGAATTAGAAGTGTCCAATGTCATCGCAAAATCAAAGTTATCAATAAAACGTAATAATGTTAAATCTCTTTTATCTATACGACACAAAAACATGCCAATTTTATTAATACTAATAGCTAACACTCTTTGTTGTGTAAGAACTATTTGATGTGCTGATAATACAACTGCTTCAGTACTTGCAAGATGTGGATTTGCCAATAATATTATTTCTGCGCCGGTTATATTAACACGATAATTAATAGTCATTGCTTCTGAAGGAACTGATGGCTGTTGTTTATGTGGTAATTTCGATAGTTGAGATGTTATTGACGATTTAGATGAGTTTGGAGAATTAGATGGGTTGAGTGCAGAGGAATCTGAACTGTCTGCCTGATTATTCAGTTTTTTTTCAGAATCTCGAGTTTCGAATGCGCTCATAAAGTAATTACGAGTTTCAAATAAATGATCTAAAGTGAGGATCACTTTTGGACTATCAACAGTTGCAATTGCTGTAAGGCTTTTGTCTGCCCCATTTCCAGAAATGCTAAGAGTTACCATAAATTGAGACGTGTTTTTATTTACAGCTGGTAAAATCTCTTTATAAACATTTTTTATGTTATGTCGTGTATCAACAAGAGTTGCAGATTTCAATTGAAGTTCTGCTTCAATTGATCCATCAGTCAACATTTGGAACTTTATATTAGTTTCATTTAAAGAAAATTTCGACAAACTCGATTCGCCTAATTCTTTTACTTGAGAACCATCACCAGAAAAAATTTCCAAATTAATTTGTTTTACTTTAAATGCCAGGTCAACTGAAATCCAAGGTTTTTCATTTTCCTCCTTAGCAGGCGAATCAATATTTTGTAAAGATTTTGGATATGTGGATGGACTTGATGTCGTATCAGGTGAGTCAAATTCCTTTTTTGGAGATTTTGAACCGTTTCCACTAAATGCTGTAGTGACAGAGTTTGAAAGATCCAATAAAAATTTGTATTGTTTTTGTGTCAAACTCATGTTTACATTCGACATTTCACCAATAACCTTTTACATATATATATATATATATATATATATAAGTTAGTATTTATAATAAATAAATAAATATATAAACAAATGGATAAAAAAAAAACAAGAAAAATAAATAATGAACCTCCATGTCTGGTCTTGTTGAACCTTTAACATGCTCTGCATATGAAATTTTGAAATTTATATCAACGTCATCAATAATTTGTAAACTTTGAGTAAAGCCATTATGAAATTCAAAATTTGATGTCAATCGAATTTTTTGAAGTTCTGCTTTTATTTGAGTAAGAAACCCATTTCCATTTTCATTTGAAATAAATTCGTTTATAGCAGACAGTTCACCAAGATTAGCAACTAATGTATCTTTATTATTATGAGGAAGAATTACAATTGGCGAATTAACTAAAATGTCAAAATGGAATTTTGATACTTTTTCTTGCAATTGAGCAGCTTGTTCAATAGCAGCTGATCGAGCAGAATCATATAGGCCTTTCATCTGAGCAAACTTGCTACCAAAATCAAGTAAAAGTAGAATCGGTTTTTCGAGGAAAGTTACTCTTGCAGATCCTGCACGTAAATAAATAGATGAATTGTATCCAGGAAAACTAGGAGCATTCTCATCAAAGGTTTCATATCTAAAATCAGCTAAATTTTCCCCTTGTATTGTGAGCAATTGTCTTAACGATTCAGGTGTATCTTTAGTTGCCATATCGTCAGTTAGTGAAAAATTACCCAAACGTGCCCCAACACGTAAAGTATTTTGTCTTAATAAAACAGCTACATCAGCACGAGATAAAAGTCCTGTTGCAAGCCTAACACCGTCATTGTTCAAAATAAATCTTATACTGTTCAAACGGGCTTTAACACGTATTTTAGAAGATTGTTGTTGTGGGGAGGGAGGTTCTGGCGTTTCTAATGATATGCCTGGTGTATTAATGGCCACATGAGGTTGTAAGACAACGCTTACAGGTGTTGTTGTTGTTGTTGCTGGAGACACTGTAAAAGTGTCTAATATGAAATTATAAAGTGTTAATATGCTTTTCCGAGTTATGATAACATTTATAGTAGACATCTCTATATCGACGCTTTGGTCAATTCCTTCAAATCTCGACATATACTCTGGAGACTCTGGTTTAACTTTAGTGTATTTCACATGAACAAGATCTTTTGAATCTTCAGCTTGAGCATTTCCGTATCCTTCAGAAGCAGCCAAATGTTTAAATTCAGAAGTTATATCAGAAATTTTATCTTCGATACTAAGAGATTTAAGAACTACAACAGCAGACATATCAAAAGGTCGAAGGGTGTAGTTTAAACCAAAATGTTCTAAAGCCATGTCAACTAAAATTATTTCAGGTTTCTGAGGATCAGGATCTGCTTTTTTCAAATTCGCTGTAAATTTGTCAACTTTAAAGTTGAATTCAAAAATTATTTGATTGATTTTTGCATTGGGTACCTAAATTAATAATATATAAATGATTAGTATACAAAGCATTAAATTTGTTTTAATTCATCTATAGATAAATATATATAAAATATATATGTATGTATACATTTGTATCTTGAGCATCAAAAAACTCTTCGCCATTTTCATCCTGAGCATCATCATTTTCATCTTCTTCACTTTCACTATCAACCAATACAACACCATCATCTACTTTACTCAACCCGAACTTTCCTGCCATAGATTCCCTATGCTTTAGACGCTCCCATTTCAAAGCCTTTTCTCTTATAAAATTAAGATCTCGGGAAGGTTTTGGTGATAATGGTTTTTTATCAAAATTTGAAAAATTACTTTCACCTTTATTCGGAGTTGATGGTTCATTTGGTGGAACAATTGTATCAATAATATTCATAATTATTTTATATTTTCTATCAGAGAAATTAGCTTTAAGTAATGGTAAATGCCCTGATATTCTAAATTTAGTTAAATTAGAAGCCCTTCGTACTATTGACATTTCAACAAAAAATGTCATATTTATCCTTTCGATAACATGAAAATCGAAATTTGAATTTGGGTCACGTATTTGATTCAAGCAACGATCAACAGATTGACCAACAAGTAGCTGATTAAAACATCAAATTAATTATTAATGATGATAATAATAACCAATTAGAACTTGATTGATTCTGTTATTCAAATATATTTATACAAGAAAAAAATCTTAAATACCTGAGTAGAAGAAAGATTTACTGTAAATTTATCGTACATCAAAGATTCTAATTGCTTATAATCATCTTCGTTATATTTTTTAGTTTCTTTTGCTTGAACCTCGGCTATAGTGTCTTTATCAACAAGATTACTGACTACACTAATATGACCTGAATCTAGAACAACTACTTGTGCATCCTTTTTTGTACAACTTTCAGGTATAACAATAATTGGCGCTTTCATATCGATCTTCACATCGATTGTTTTGTGTTCCTCTAATGCATATTCCAATCCAGCTCTTGTTTGTGCTTTGATCCCTTCCAAAGTATCACCAGCAGCTTCCTATTAGATTCATTTTGATGTTTATTTTAACAATAAACACTTATTTATATAATGATAAATGCTCATCTATATAATGAATGGTAAAAGAGGAGAAACTTACGATTAACGCAGCGATTGATTCTAATTGTTGTTCAGGTGGTTTAAAGAAATCTATGACTGCTTCAATAGCCTTGTGGTTATATATGATTTCCAAATACCTCATTTTCAATGAAAATGCATTATCAGCTCGATTGTCCAAAGGATTCTGTTCAAAAACCAAGTGAAAAAATGGGTTTTCAAGCGCTTCATCATGCTCAATTTCTCCGATGTCAATGTTTTTTACGATGTCCAAGCTATTGTTAGAATCTGGCCGTGAATCCTCTTTTACACTAACAATTTGTTTATACAAAGTACCCTCAGTAGATCCATCATACACACGTAAATTTCCTAATGCTGTTTCTGCTATAAAAGAATCTGGCCTTTGATAAAAGTTTGTAGACACTGTATCAAAAAACAAAGAAAGTATTTCAACGTTTGACCCGCGAGGATTTTTTTTCAAAGCAAAAGAGCCAGTTTTGAGTTTAGTTTTAAATGAAAGCTTTATCCACTAAGTAAATAAAGAAAATTGATTAATTTCCTTCTAATTAATTAAAAAAAAAACACTAATAATAAATCCAAACTAGATCTAAAATTAACCTCTTTAGGAAAATCAACTGACTCTATCACAGCGGCTTTCTCATCATAATCAATTGCTTGATATAATTCTTGTCGTTGTTCATCTGTCAATACAATGTCTCCTTCATTTGATGGCTATAACAAAATTTAATGATAGCATATTAGAAAAAAGAGAATAATTTTTTTTATTCCAAATCAAATAACATAATAAATCCATACACTTGTTTCTTGACCACCATACCACCAGCTACTAAACCAGCCACCGTCTGATGGTTGACTCACTGTTTGTTTTTCTTGTCTTTCTTTTTTAATTTTATCTACATTTTACATTTTTAAAAAAAATTTTACAATAAAGTTGTAAAATATGATTGTCTAATATAACAATTAAAGTTATATCCCAAGTAGAGTATTTGACACACAACCTATTAATGCCCTTTCTTTTTTCAATTGAGATTTGGCAATTGATCGATAAAACCTTATGTCTTCATAGCTAAGCTTTATTTCAAGTTGCTTCAATTTTTCAACATCCTAAACAAAGTAAATATAAAATAATAAATTACACACTTTGAATGAATCAATCAATAAAATTCTTAGATATTAAAAGGCAGTTACCGCAGGCGTTAAATGATCAAGTCGTTTATCTTTATAAAGTTTAACATATGCACAACGGTCATCACGTCTTTCAGCAAAATATTCCCAAGTCAATTTTCGATTACGTTCACGAATCTCAGAAAGTATACAATTTCCTGCAAATTGAAGCCATGCTCTTGGATTTTGTTTTGGTGTCACTTCTTTTGGAGGTCTGAATTTTCGATACTAATGATAAAATTATTTATTACTTTGATTAGAAAATTTATCATGTAGATAAATATAAAATAAATTATATTTTTTATATTATACCTTTTGTTGTCTAAGATAAAAATGAAATAAGTCAACCATTAATAAGGCGTCCCTGTATTGTTCATCATCCAAGACAAATCCAAGTTCATCAAATAATAACGTTACAATAGTTTTAGGAGTCTTAACATCAAAATGTTTGTTCAATATAACCTACGCATAATTTTATAGTTTTAAGGTTTAATTGAATAATTAATTATTAAAGGGCGTTTTAGTTTTTTGAGGGTGAGAAAGACTTACTCTTCCAGTTCCTGATACAGGTTTTAAAATATATTGGTGTTCTTGTGGAACTCTCTTGTCTGATGAAATCTTATAATATAAAGTTAATTACAAGTATTAGAAATTACATGATAATATAATATAAAAATTTCTTTTAAAAAAAAGTACAATACCAAATTTATGAATAATTCAATAGAATCCTTCTGAGAGTAACCAGATAAAGATCTTGAATCTGTGTTCCAATATGCAGCTAATGATCCTAATGTAATTAACTTTAAAGGAATTTTTAATTAATAAAAAATATGTATGTATTATATATATAAATTATTCTCTCAAAACAATTACTTTATGAATTGGTTTAGTTTCATCTTCAATAAAAGTAGGTGTCCAATTTTCATCTGTTGAAAGAGCTGAAAATTCGGACAATGTAAGTCCTATTGAAAATGGATGCTGCAAAATTATTTAAGAATTAAGTATTTTTCTAATAAACAATTTTTAAGAAATTAGTATTAAAAATTCAATGCAAACAAACCTCAGGATCACTTAATTTATCTTCATATCTAATATGAATATTATTAATAGAAATTTGTAGATTGTCTACAATCTTGGTAACAAGTTGATTTACAAAAGATTGGTTTTTTTGATCATCCTCTTTTAAAAAAATTAATAATAAAAAAATTAATAATAAAAAATTAATAATCTAATAATATAATAATAATAATAAACCTTCAGATGTTCCAGATGGATTAGACTGAAGTAATTCAGCATTTGCTAATTTTTCTTGTTTGACTTGTTGAGCTTTTTTTTGTTCTTCTTCAGGATCATACTAATAAACCAATAAATTTTTTTTTAATTAAACAAATTTGAAACTTCAAAAACACACAATTTAAAGATTGCTACCTCTGTATCAGCTTTTGGATTAGCTAAAAGATAAACATTATTTATAAAAACTTTAACTGGCTTATTTTTTAAATTTGACCAAGGAATATTCAAGGTTAATTCCCCAAGATATCCTGAACAAAAAAAATTATATAATTATATATAAGTTACATTAGTCTTATCTATGATGACTCTATAATCAAAAATAGTTTAATAAATGCCTTCTAAAATTTCAATAGGTAAATCAAATTTATCAAGTGCTTCTTTTTTGAGTTGTAGGTTTCTTAACACGACATCCCCTTTTATTAGCACAATTTATATATATGCATGCATGTATGTATGTATGAATACACTATTGTGAGAAATTTGAACAAATTTTAGAGGAAAAAAGAGACTTAACAACATCAACAAAAAAAAACCTGTCCATATTGCAATGTTTAGTTGGTTATCTTCGAGATTAGAAACATATGCACCAAGAACGCGATTCAAAACATTAGCAACTAACGATTCAAGCATTGTTTGAATGCAAAAAAAAATTAATTAAATAAAGTAATAAAATACAAAACAGAATTCAATTTATATTTAATAGATATTTATATATAAATTTTTTTGATATGACATCATAAAGAGGAGATATATAATAATTAATAATAACAAGTTTTTTGGGGCGTTTGTAAAACATGATCATGAGATTATCAAAGGCTGACCAAACATTACATTATCCATCATCTGTCGTGTATGGGGACGTGCTGCAATTAGTATTAGGGATGGAAAAACGGTTCAGGACCAGGACCAGTTGGCACTGACCAATAAAGATCAAGAATCTTTATCATGTGAGTTAATTCCTTATCAACTAATTTAGTATTAGTGATGGATTTACCAGATTTACCTTTTCTAGTTTGCTTGTCTACTTGGTATTCTTGGGATGTTGACTATACTAATGCATGAAGTCGAAATTAAAACCCAAAAGTCGAATTAAAGTCGAGATGGTCGAAATTACAGGCTGAACATACAGAAATTAACCAAAAGCTTCAAAATCTCATAAATCGGTCAATATCCAGCTGTTTTGAATAAAACAGCTACTATTCAAATTCTCTCAATGAGCTTAGTCTAATGAGATGTAGTTCATAAAATCTTAATTGACGATCCGTTTATAAATCAGGTGAGTACTATATAGTGATCGGCGGGGGAAAATTGACGAAAAAAAAACACTAATCAGTAAGTAACCTATACTTTTGTCTTGTAAGATAAAATTTTTTTGTGTACACAAATAAAATAAATCTCAGAGAACACATTATCTATCTTTTATTGCCTTTAATTATGTAAAAAAAATTTTTTTTCTCTTTATGATGTGTTGATTTTTGAAGTCTTGTTGAAAAAATTTGAAAAAATAAAAAAATGTTTTTGCCGAGTCTTGAATGATGATAATAATAATAATTTATGCTAAAGGGCATGCTAAAGTATGATAATAATTTCCATGAATATGCATTTATGCTTTACTTTCGAAGCTATTGTTCATTTTAGAATTAATTTTAAGTACAAATTCATTAAACAATTCTCTATCTAGGTCTTCCTTTATTCCAGGAACTCTTTGCGGTATAGTCTCTTGTTCTAATTTAAGATTCCTTAAAATTAATCTGGACCTTCCTTCAAGAAAAAAAATTTCAAGTCCTCCTCTCTTTTAAATAGAAATGATGAATGTTAGAATCATTGGACCGATTGTTGTCACGTGTAACTTATTGCAAATCATTTATATATATATAAATAAGACTTCATTATATACAGTGTGTGTCACAATAAATCATCCATAAAATATTGGTTTACTTTTAATTTTATGTAATAATAAAAATTTAACAACATGAGTTGAAAGAAATAATCAAAAGCTAACTCTTAGCGTTGAGTTTTTTTGAATTGGTTTATTTTTGGGGGAGTAATAAGGAATTAAAATTAATTATATTTATACATATTTTTAAATTTTGCCGGCATTAATTTTTTTGGTTTCACGAAAGTTAATACGCGACACATTTATACTATAAAGATTTTTAATTATAAATTTATCCCAATAAAATATGGGTAGAGTATCTAATAAAAATCAGCATCTTAAAAAAATAGCACAATCATCTATCAAATTTAGACAAGAATCAATTAAAGATAAGGATCAAGAAATTAATAATGCAAATGAATTAAATGAATTTATTGATAATGAAATGTGAGATACATATAAATTATTTAAGTATGTTATTTATTATTTTTTGTGATTTAATTCATATTTTTATTTAACAAAGTAATAGAGAACTAGATGATTTTGATGAAAGTTCTGATGATGATAATGATGATACTATTGATAATAGTTTTGAAAATAGTATTTCAATATTTGAATTACTAACTGAAAACATGAAATCTTATGCTAGATCTAAAAGACCACTTAGTTATCTTGGAAATTCTGACAGAACTAAGAGGAGAAAGAAAAAAATTGGAATGTTAGATGCTGAAAAAAATGGGAACACATTAGATAGATTTTTCTCTACAGAAAAAAAAAATATTTAAATGAATGAAAATGATATGAACTCCCACAATGATTACTTGATTGAAGAAAGTAATGCAATTGAAAACAACCTTATGGAAGATCAAGAATATGAAGATGAAATTGAAAAAATAGACAAATTATTAAATGATCCATCTACTGCTTCAAATGGATATAAAATTAAACTTAAAGCATTACAAAATTATTTTAAATTATTGAATCAAAATAGGGGAAAGTTAGATGCATCAAATATAGTTGCTCAATTGTTAAATAAAGGTCCTTGGTTTTCTAGGTGTATAAGAAGTTGGGCAAAATCTTTTATGGAATTTGGAAATATTCCACAAGGTCAGAAAGGGAAACATCTTGTTGGGAGCCTTTTAGATGATGAGGATATTCAAATAAAAATATCATCATATCTAAGAAAAGAAAAGTTCAATGTAACTGTTGAAAAATTTTGACAGTTTATTACTAATGATGTCTTTCCATCAATAGGGATTGAGAATCTAGAAGAAATAAAGTTTATTTCAATTATTGTCAATTTTATTATGTACTTAACATTAACTTTTTTTTACATTTTATAGTAAAAAAACTGCAACAAGATGGTTAAAAAAACAAGGCCTTGTTTATGATAAATATAAAAAAGGAATTTATGTGGATGGTCATGAAAGGGATGATGTTGTTGAATACAGAAGAAAATTTTTAGATGAAATAGAAATGTAAATTATTATTATGCAATTTCATAATAATTAACACTTATTATTATTATTTAAATCCTAATCAAACATAATGTTATTATAGGTATCAATAAGGCTCTGAACTAATCAATGAAATTTGAACCAATTCAAACCAATTCGAATTCGAATCGGATCAAATCACTTAATTTTTGATTCGTTTCATTCAAATCAAATTCAAATTGAATCGAATTGTACTTTGATTCAATTTGATTTGATTCAAACTGATTCGAACAGATTCGAATTCAGATTGATTCAATTCAATTTGAACAGATTCGAATATATAATTTGATTCAAATTCAATTTGATTTGATTTGATTTGAACGGATTCGAATATATAATTTGATACAATTCAAAAAATCTTTATTTTAATGTATATTTTATAATTTTATTTACAAAAATATTTTTTATTTGGGGCAAAACCAGACAAAGTGAACATTAATGTTACCAAAGATTTCAGGGATCAAATTTTAGTCATTTGTATAGAACTACCTCTATATAAAAATAGTCAATATGAAATTAATCTACTATGGAACCCAAAAATTATAACACCATTAGAAGTATTTTGAAGAAGGAACAAGGTGAAAAAATTGTTCCATATGTTTTTAAAATAAATGATACTCAGACACTGGAAGCTTATCTAAGATTACTTATGAAATCTACCAAGAAGAAAGAAAAATAATAACTAATAAAAGAACATTGACACAAAACCATGATGAATCTAAAAAGAAAAGAAAATTAGAAGAAAAATAATTTACCACCTAATTTCAGGCTAATTAATTCCTTAATTTTTTTTTACAAATAAACAGTCATTATAAATGATAATCCTATATATCTTCGAGAACATGCCAAAGATTTACTTTGCAAATCACTTGGTAATGATACAACATTTTTGGCGAGTCACAATGTTATGGGCTATTCATTATTGGTTGGTTTGATGATAAATAGGAATCGGTTGTTGGAATAGTTGGTAAGTAAATTTTCTATTTTATTGAAAATAAATAAATCTAGATTTAAAATGAAAGTTTATTAATTTATATATGGACACCATATATTTTTTGTGGAAAAGATTTTATAAGAACATTTACATGGGACAAAATTGTATCACCAAATGCAACAATAATTTTTTGTTGGGATCAAGACTTCTTGGTGATGCAAATCTCCATTTTGAGTTGGTGGTAGTGACAGTAGCTGCATTGGAGATAACAGTTGTATTGGCTCTAGTGATTTCCATTTGTGATATTGTTTGGTTGTGATGAAGGTGGTGGGTGATTATGTTGGTGGTAATGATTGTGACATAGGTGACATATTTTTTGCTATCAATTTCCGCAATTGCTCTTTGTTGTTTGCAATAAACTTAAACTGTGATTTGTTTCCACCTTTCATTATAAAAATTGGTCAAAATGGTGCTCTTTTTGCCAAGAAAAATTTACTTGAGTAATCTAAAATAATTTATTAAGTACACTAAATTTATTTATTTATTTATTTTTTGTCATGTTAAGTAATTTTATTAATAATAGGTATTGTTAAATGTTACAAAATTAATCTACAACCTACTTAACTTACACTCTATTTTACATTGAAATAGAAGAATGTGACATTACCACTGTAAGCTCTACATAAAGCAGGTGATTCAATAATCACAATTAAGATTAACACTTTATGTCTTTGAGTTAAAAGATACCAGTGGATAAGTACACTAAATTTTTTTTTTTAATAAAACATATTTTGTTTTGTAAAAGTTGATTTATATAATATAATACTTATGAGCTAAGAATAAAAAATAAAACTATTGTATAATACAGGTTTATTTCTTTCCAGAATCAACTGCATAACCCTTTAATCAAATAATTCTCATCATTAGTTCACGTTAGTATCCAAAGATCCAAGCACCTTGCAGCAGGGTTGGCAAATGTGTGGTCCCTTGCCATTTTGGAGTAAGCTACCCTTGTACTTAAATTCTCTGTTGCCTTGTTTTTCGGGAAAAGAATCATCAAAATCATCATCATCTTTATCGGGATCATCAGCAACCATCATAGGTTTTTCAAGGAAAGATGTATAACATGTAAGTGACAGATTTAAGTAATGTGAGATTTATTGAAGAGTTTGTAATGGTGTTCAATACATGCAACCATCCATAGTCTTCTCCAGTGACACACACTGTACTCTGGAGTAATTACTATATTTTTGTTATTTTATGGTTTACAAAGCATCAAATAGGTATCCCTCTTTCAAGGAACCAAGTTTGGTTATATGTTGATAAGACGCCATATCTATTTTTGTAAAAAAGTATAAAATTATTATGTACAATCTGTTAATGTTTGAAAAAATTTGCCTTGATTTGTTAGAACTCATGTACCTGTATATTTGGTTTATAGAATGATATGGGTTATTAATGGCAATTGACCAGCTCAAAGTCCATCAGTTCTCAATGGACCAGTCAATTTGCCAACCCTGCCTTGCAGCTCTGATTTTGTGTTACAACATTAGGACCATTTTGGAGTAAGCTACCCTTGTACTTAAATTCTCTGTTGTCTTGTTTTTCAGAAAAAGAATCATCAAAATCATCATCATCTTTATCGGGATCATCAGCAACCATCATAGGTTTTTCAAGGAAAGGTGCATAGTGATCATTATTGAAGAGTTTGTAATGGTGTCCAATACATGCAACCATCCATAGTCTTCTCCAGTTACCCCTCTTTCAAGGAACCAAGTTTGGTTATATGTTGATAAGACGCCATATCTATTTTTGTAAAAAAGTATAAAATTATTATGTACAATCTGTTAATGTTTGAAAAAATTTGCCTTGATTTGTTAGCACTCATGTACCTGTATATTTGGTTTATAGAATGATATGGGTCATGGACAATAGAAAAGGGCATAACTGCAAAATCATGATTTTGAGAAAATTAAAAAACAAAGATTTTGACAGAAATTGCATATCATTTGTAAATTTATGACAAAAATAGGGGCTATTTTAATAATAATTAATAATAAGATAAATTCAAGTCATGTGCCCACCAATTTATCATTGGTCCGAATTATTTATAATAATTACAATCTAAATATATATATAAAAAAAAAATTAATTTTTAAATTTTACAAATGGCTACATTTGAAAAACTTAAAAAAGAGTTAGAAGATGCAAAAAAGGAACTCGAAGAAGCAAAAGAAGAATTGAAGGAGTGGAAAGAAAAGTGGAGAGGGAGGCTCAACCAGTTGTTGGAAGGAAGTATGGAAAAATACGAAGGGGAGAAGAAAGGGTTAGAGGAAAGGATGGAAAAATTAGAGAAAGATAGAGATGATAGGTGGGAGTTGTATAGTCATTTGCAAAAAAATTTAGCTAAATTTGATGGAAAAGGTAATGAACAAATTGTGTAAAAAAATATACAAAAAATTATTTTCCATTCATTTCATTTTGTTTATTGATTTATTTGTTTGAGTGACATATTGTTTGAAATATTGATAATATGTACTTTTTTTATGTATTATCTTACACATAGGTAAACACTCTGCAATTGAGTTGACATCAGAAAGGTCATCAAAACGAATCTATATTGATTATTCTGAACATCTTGTGAAAGCACTTAGTATACCATTTGAT